AAATTGCTTTGGGTAACCGGGGCATTTATGGTTTGCCCCCTTCTCCCCCCCCCCCCCCCCCCCCCCCCCCCCCCCCCCCCCCCCCAAAGGTTCGTGGCTCTCATTAGCCTCATATGATCAGTCGCCAGAGGAGGTCCCGCGGCGTTGGAGGTTGAGTTTGATATTTCAATGGTCACAGAGAAAATCCTACGTTTTGTCTCGAAAGATTCAACGAGAGAAAATAGACCTTGCACACCAGAGTGTAGAAATATTTTTGCTATATACCAAGAATTAAGATTATCACAAGTTTCTGTCTTTAGACTACCCCGCTTGTCGCCGAATCATTTTTGTCAGTCTTATCTGATTTTGATTTATTTATTCTGGTTTTATTTTTAGATCGCGGCCAAAGATAGACAGAGGAAAACCATTTGTTTGTGATATTCCTCATCTGTAGCGCCGTTAATGTTTTGATTGGCTCGCAAGATGTATGGTAAGCTACCCTGCTAGTGCAAGAACATTGATAGAGACATGACATGACGTAAGGGTTTTCCCTTAGAAGACGTGATGCAGATCTCTGTACAGGAGGTATCGGCAATATGTTGCACTTAAGGGCACACTACCTTCTGGCCCACTATCTTCTGGCTTAAAGGTGATGGCGAGATGAGGATTCGGCTATTGATTTTCGACTCGCTTTATAGGAACAGACCTAAGCCACGGCGCACAAAGAACTACTTACTGATCGCCCAGTACAATAAGTCTAGCTCAAGCAATCTAGGGGTCATAATGGTGAGTTAGTACAGCCGCGGGCCTAGTCTACGCATAGTACTTAAAATATGTTTTAGGTCCCCTCGTACTTAGTAGTGGGTTCGGGTATAACTATAGCGATACTATATAAACTATAGAACGTAGTTAGCATTATCGCGTGATATATATATTGAAGTATGTATTGCAGTGGGGGTTTCCAGAGCAGAATGACTAAGCGGCTATGTGACATAAAAGCACTCCCGAGGCCTAGATAGCAACGCAGACACCTTTCCGCCTCTCTTCTCGGTAGTCACCCCATGGTGTTCTCCTCTCTAGCACCCTACTACTCCCATTGATGACTCTGTTCTCACACCTGTTTCGCAGGCAGGGTTGTCGGTGCCCCTCAGGGGTCCCCTCTTCAGTATATAAATTCTTAAGTAAGAAGACGATCCTATTTCTGGGTTGCGAACCTCCCGTGTGCCAAGGTTCGTTCAGGATAACATAAGCGTGTATCTCTTTTCATACAAAAACGAAAAACATACAACAGTGAGGATTCGCTGGTGGTCACCCACCCAACTACTAACTCACCGGCGTGTGGCTCATGTGCGGCCAATAGTCGGGTGGGTGTCGCCCAGGTGAGAAGGATGATTGAACAACAAGTAGGTTGAAAAGCCGGGTGAGAATCACGCACAACTACAGGACTGGCCCCTAATCGGGGTCATCTCCGTCGAGCTCTCGGCATAACGGTCCAACTTGGGGGCAAGAGGGGTAGGGAAAATGGGCTGCTAGAGTAGAGCACGGGCTCAATTTGTATTTAATTGTCCACTGGATGGTCAAAGGGTGGGTTCTGACATGCTCTCCTGTTCCATCTATCCGGGATCAATTAAGAGCATGTGCAGCTCACTCTGTTAAAGTATTACAAGACGGATGAATACTACGTGTAACCAGAGGTGTGAACTCAATGAGATTCAAGAACGTATATGGTATGATTGGAAATGTGTATAAGTCTTAAGTCTAGAATACAGGAATAATCCGACTTTTATTTTCGCTAAGCTTAGTAGCATGCACGCCATAATAATGGCATTGCACAATCCTAGAGTGTGAGTAGTAGAGTTTACCAAGTCCAAGGATTGAATTCCGCAATGTTCTGGAAGGTGCAAGCTGGCTTCTGAAACCGGCATTGATCCACCGGTGTATTGGAGAATGCTTGATTCTCAACACACTGTAGATGAGTAACAATCGAAGTGAAGTGAGGTACAGCTTTTACGGCCCATGGTGGTCAATTTGCTCTTCCATGTTCTACTTTGGTTGGGGCCACCCTATAGAACATAATATTTCTCCAACACCCATAGCAAATGAGCCGCTGGTCCTATTAAGCTTGTATTGCAGCTGCTTCAAGGGATGTGGAGGAAAGGCACGACTCAGTAAACCCGAGAATCGATCTTCTACTATTTGCTTATTTCGGCGGGGATTCACAAAAATAAACAAACTGATACCTTATCCAGATGGCCTGTCAGCCACGGCACAAGAGATACTCACGTGTTATATCACCTACGTCTACCTTACTATATTTATTACGCCTCGGTTTAGTATCCGCAGCTATTGGGGCAGTAATATAATCTTATTCCTAGAATTTAACAGCTTCATTCGCCGAAGCATATGCTACGCGCCAACCTCACCCTGAGGGTTCGATTTTCTATCATATTCGTTCTCACAGCCCGTACACTGGATCATTATACTTTACGGGGGAGATACAGCTACTGTATAGTTGGATCAAGGTTTTAAAGAGCCCTAGAAGTCTTATGGTGTAGAAAGTAAACAGGAACTGTACTCTGGCGTCTACTTAATTACTTTTCACGAGTTGGGGTAATTGAAGAGAAATGCTTATTGGACAGCCTAATTGTGATTCATCCAAAGAGTAAAAGGTGATCAGGAGCTGGAGGATCAACGTGGTGGACACCGAATGACCACCAATAAGCAAAAGTGGTTGAGCCTTCCTTATACTAAGAATATACATACTCAACGCTATCGGAAACTCTTTGCGCTCCTACTAAGGCTGCGTCAAAGCCCATGTCGAGTGAGCACGCGACGGGATCAGGGTAGATAGAACCGTTTTTTCGTTTTCTCTTTTTCCATCTGTTTTGAGACTCATATAGCGTATCATCGGTTTTTCTTTGCTTCTTGCTTTCTTCTGTGTCTCTAGAACACTCGACCTAAAGCCGAACGTAGAGTTCTGTAGGTTAGGCTTCAAAAAAAAAAGGAACAAAGGGACGTAGAGAGGCTTGACGAAGACAAAAAATAAATATGGAGCGAATTAATTACAAACTAAGCCAAACTCTAATATAGTTTGGGGGAGAGGGGGGAGGATCATAGGGCACACGGGCACACATCTTGTAACAATTTCGGCGGACAAAGCGCTTGCACTTGGCTTTCTACGCGAATATCCAATGGGCCGAGGTTTCTCAAGCCCTGCGTGCTTTCCTGCATGAGACAGCAAGGGGTGCTATGTGACCCCTCTTTTCGATGCTACCATTCATATGTCCCTCCCACCCACCATGTTCCTGGCCGACCTGTATTCCACTTTGCCATCATTCTTGGATTGTATTCCATACAAGGAGTCTGCAAGACTTCTCTTTCGGGAGTTGTCCTTAGGATCATTAGACTATGTCAGTAACTTTTCCGGTATACCAATGACTTTCAACTGATACTCACCATTGAGCTTGGCGTGGCATTTGAGTAGCTATTCAAGTCTTCTGCTGACACCAAAATTGGGAGATATCCACGTGGACAACCCGGACAATTCCTGCGTTCGTGCATTTGAGCCATCTAGGCAAGGTTAGCTCCATCAGTCTCAGGTAAAAGGTTAGATCCCTATCCCAAAAACTAATTGGATAGAAGAATGTTGGTGAACCGAAAATGAAAAATAATTTTAACTCTGTACCTCCCCTGCTCTCCTTGCTTTGCTCTGAAATTGCACTGACCTTTAGACTTATATAACAGGTCCTCCTCTAAAAATTCTTCCCAGAGGTTTTGATCTGGAACCAAAGCCCACCGCCCAGGCATCCGCCCACACCAGATCCAAAAGTCAAGGGCTCGGTTGGCTGTTGATGAACCAAGATAACCATTATTCTCCACCAGTGAAAGTATTGCCTTCATTCTTTTGATTTGACCTTCGGAGATATCATGCGGAGGGGAACCGTTCAGAAGAGCCTCAAATCGGAGGTGTTCAATAATTTCATTGAGCCCTATGCCAATGACAGGTCAGCAAGTCTCCAATAATCATCTCACCGTGGTGATTAATCAAACCTTCTGCTTGAGTCGTGTCAGCTCCTCTGACTGGGCTTGAGTCCCGAGGCCTCGTCATAGCTGAATTGCCCTGCATTGCTCTTGCAGTCTTCTCGTGTGACCTTCTGCGGCCTCGTGCCTGCTTCACCAAGCTCACCCAACTCGAGAAACACATGGCCACTCGTCACAACTGCATCCACGGCACTGCTAGTCCAAAAAT